ACTAAACGAGATCTGTGTGAATGATCATACAGTGACATGAAAAGGTTTTGATATTTGATATTATCTTTTGACTTACTGTCTATTTGGAGAACAAAAAGCTTGCACATTTTCAAACGGAATGTAATATTGCACAAATGGAAACATTTTGGTTAAAATGCTTAACAGACTCCCTTTTATTAACCCTGTGAAAATGTAAATGAATATTAATAAATGAATAACTGGATGGACAACACATCCCCACAGACATCCTCACACTGCCAAAATGGTTCTCTGTATTACATATTTTTTAGTGCAGTCAATCGATAATATATATTATATATATATAATTAATCGCACATTTTTCTGAAATTAATCACAGTTAATCCCACCTAACATTAAAGTTTTATATACGTTTATATTGCAATAATTTCACAATCTCCAAAGTAATGAAGTAACAACATAAAGACAGTATATTTTTTATATTTGTTTAATGGCATCTTTTTTTTATGACTGAAGGGAATATCACTGATACCAATACTACTGATGTCTCTAGGAAATTGTTTTCTTTTTCCTAATATTTAATCATTGACTATAGCCATTCAACATTACAATAATTGAGAGCTATCAGTTTTAACATTTATTAGACCTTAAACAATAACTTCTAATTTAAATGAACTTAAAGCAATCTTTACATGTACCCTATAATAAACGTCATATTTAGCTACCTGTGCCCTTCAACAAGTAAGAAATATACAGAAATTGAATAAAGTTATCAAACATTAAATTCTAAATGAAATAGATGAATCCTTAAAGCTACAAAAGTTAATTATCGTTTATTCTTTTATTAACAGACATCACAGCAGTTGGATATTAGGTTATTTTGGCTGCTTTTAGAGCTGCTGCTACATGACGCAGATCTGACACGCATCGGATTTTCTCATAACTCTTTAGTTTTCTGACCCACTTCAGCTCTTAAAGTCTCTACTAATGAGCTGATGAGTTGAATCGATTGTGTTAGATGAGGGAGACAGTGCTGCCACTCCAGGACAGTTTCTGAAAACCACTGCCTTTCAGAGACATGCTCTTAAATGTGACTCCTTTATAACAAATATTTACATACATGCACAGTTTTAAGGCAGCTTTATGCTAAGTTCACACTACACGACTTTAAACGTCGGCAGATCGCTGTGCTGTTCAGACTACATGGGCCCTGTTTTAACGATCTACGCGCATGGTCTAAAGCGCACGGCGCAGGTGCACTTAGGGCGTGTCCGAATCCACTTTTGCTAGTTTAACGACGGCGCGCCCGGGGGCATGGTCTAAAAAGGTTATCCCTATTCTCTTAAAGGGGTCATATGATGCGATTTCAATTTTTCCTTTCTCTTTGGAGTGTTACAAGCTCTTGGTGCATAAAGAAGATCTGTAAAGTTGCAAAGACTAAAGTGTCAAACCCAAAGAGATATTCTTTATAAAAGTTAAGAGTCAGCCACGCCGACCTAAAACGGCTCGTTCTAACACGCCCCCACATACCTACGTCACTATGTGGGAAGATTTGCATAATGCTGCCCAAATGTTCACGCAAAGAAAGAAGGCATAACTTTTATTCTCACTGTAGTATTGTTGTTGCTGCCGCCATGTCGTGA